AAATTCAGAGGTTGCTACTGAACCTCTACCAAAAGATACCAAAAGTGAAGACTGTCTTTTCCTCGATATCTACGTCCCCCTTTGGGTTTTGGAGGAGAATAGTGACGAACAGCTCCCTGTTATTGTCTACATCTACGGTGGAGCCTATATATTCGGTGGGAAAAATACGACATTCAATACACCAGAAGGACCTTACTCTGCATATGACGGAACAGGTATTCGCAGAACTACCGACAATGGTGTCATCTGGGTGACGGGAAATTACCGACTCGGAGCATTTGGCTTCTTGGGTGGCTCTTACATGGAACAGAATGCTCAGCCTAATGCAGGTCTGCATGATCAGCGTCTGCTTTTGGACTGGGTTCAAAGATACATCGGTCAAGTCAAAGGCGACAAAAATGCTGTCAGCATCTGGGGGCTTTCTGCTGGTGGAGGATCAATTCTCCATCACCTCATTTCCTATGGTGGTACCAAGAAAGAATCTCTTTTCCAGAGGGCATCCATCTGGAGTCCATCATTTCAGTGGTCGTATGATCGAGCAGGTGTTTTGCAAGAAACCTTCTTCAACTTCACAGCAGAAGCAAACTGCGCTGACAAAGATGCTCTCGAGTGTTTAAGAGAAGCCGATACAGAGACTTTGAAGGTAGCTAATCAAAATGTTGTCAATCAACGCTTGGCTTTGGGATTATTTCCATTCGGACCCGCTGTTGATGGGGATCTGGTGCCAGACCTCCCAGCGAATCTATTCAAGAAAGGTACACAAATTTATACACAACAGTTTAATCTCCTGTTATAATTTTCCAATTTACTGTTAGAACATCACTAATCATGAATGTCAGGCAAACACGTTAGCACTGAATCTTTAATAATTTCTCACGTATACGACGAGGCAAGACTTTTCGCTAACAAGGATATTAAAACTGAAGCTCAGTTCACAGAATTTGTCACTCGCGCCTTCCCGGGTGATGAACTAGCAGAAGTCAGGCAGAATATCGAGGACAAATACCCCTCTCGTACATACGATAATGACCAGCAGACTCGTCTCAGGGCAGTATTAAGTGACTCGACGTTCGTTTGTAACAACTATCAGATTTACCAGGCATACAAGAAGAACTCCAAAGTCTATGCCACGCGGTACGAAATTCCACCGGCTCAACATGGTACTGATTTGCTTCCTGTCATTTGGAACGAGGAGGTCGACGTCGCTGGTCTTATTAAAGCAATTGTTCCTTGGCTCCCTGACTGGATCTCCAATATCCTTGAGAATGTATGGGTGCCTCTTGCTACGAGATACCAAAAGTACTTTGCTGCTCACGCACTGACTGGTGATCCGAACGATCTCAATTATGGCCGGGGACTCACATGGGAAGTAACAACTGACGATGGTAAAGAGTTGACAAACGCCCTGAAGGTCGGTCTGCAGTATTCCAATCCTAACCATCCATTCTACACTCTTGGATCCGATGGTCAGGTAACCGCAGAAAGCTGCAATTTCTGGAGCGATCTTGCAGAAAAGATTATGACCGTCACAGGTAGTGAGAAGAAGCAGACGAGCTTCAGGACTCAGTTTTACGAGAGCTTATGGGGTGGTCAAGTTGAATTGTAGTTACCACAAGAAAGCTGGAATGAGGAAGATGGAAGTGAGGAGGATGTAGAATGGGATTTGTCATTTCATTTCTCTAATATTTGACGGGTGAGTATTTCTTCTTGCAACCACGGCAGATTTAAAACAATGAAAAACGCGCTGCTCTGACCGATCTGTGCCAAACGTGCAGTGAAATAGCTCCAGCCAAGTTGATTAAAATATCGAGAAATCAACAGAACTATTTAATTGAAAGTCGGTAGAGCGACAATGCTGCAATAGTCTCAGAACCCATAACGTCTTTCACTTTTATCTTTCTTATCCTTCTATTTTAACTTTAACGATGGTCAGACACCAATGTCATGCCTAAAAGAGTAATCAATCTTATGGATTGATACCATACTCACAGTAATCTTTTATAGCTACATGCTAAGATTACTCTTTTATTGCATGACTATGAACTTAATAGTCTGACCTCAAATTTCACTTCACTCTCAAGGTAAGCCTACTGGAGAGCCTAGGTCTACAAAGAAGTATTGCAAAAAGCAAAGTCAAAACAACTACAAGCGCCCCGCTATACAAGGATCGGCTGATGGGAGGAGGCAAGGCAATGTCACTAAATGGCGGCTGATCTAAAACTATCGTGAATTAACATCGTAGGACGAAATATCTATTGGGCAATGAGCATGAAATGATTGTCACTATCGAAAGTAAAACACGAGACTATCACCAACTCCGCTTTGTGGCAGCTAATGCAAGGTTGACATCATGTCTCACATACGTACATTAACTAAATGCACTTACTTTTCCATCCAAATATCGACGTCATTAGATATATTACCTACTTTCCTACCACCACTTTTGTGAAGTATTGATTTATTCTCATCTACCCATCTCAATCCAATCTAGTAGAACTGTCTTTAAGAGACATTTTAGTATGCTAAGTGTAAATACTTCAAGCGAGTCAACACTGAACCGAATTACAGCTCTTAGGAATTGTATTGAGTCCAGTCCTAATTTTTAGAGAAGTTGAATCAATTATATGATAAATTAGTAAGTAATGAACCCACCCGAATCAATTATGCCACCGCGGAGTATATAAGAGAATATCCCAAAGAGATCATCAAACCTTAAGATTGATCTCAACTCTGATCCTACAGCCCTTAGTATTGCCCAGCTCTCAATGGTCCGACATCCTGAATTCTCTAATTCAGCGGTGGGAACCTATCCTATCCAACTTCTCTTACTTGAACCCTTCCTTTTCAGAGATAGCACACAAATGAAACGTTGAAAATGCCTCTCTAATACAACTTTCCAGACCGACATGTATCCTATCGCAAATTTATACTAAGAATTGAGTATGCAGTATGGAACTAGGTGGAAGCTTAGAAAGATTTCGAAAAAAGGTGTTAGGGTTATAATCAACGAGCATGGATTTCCAGTATATAGGTAAGAGAAGATCTGACTTGAACATACAAAATCTAAAGAAATCAATAAATTTCACTTGCTTGTCTATAGGGCCAGCCTTTTTATAAGATTTCCCTCGAAACATTAACTCTTTAATACTATTCCTTTACTTCTCTCCTTTAACTTATTCTTATCTCTTCCTCTAATTGAGTAGTGATGATTACAATACTTGTGAACATCTCATATTATTAGAGATTTAAGCAGAAGATGAAAAGATAATTATTATAGTGAACTTGGAGTAATTACTTAGGACTAAGAAGTCAAGTTAACTACAATTGACTAGCATCATTCATTCTAGTATTTTAAATCTCGGGCTTAGAATAAAATCTAAAGATATATTAGCTCATTTTTATATCTCTTTATAAAGCATTTTTAATAATGATTATAACTCTTTTAAAAAAAGAAATTTCAATGGAAACGTTAAAAACTACGATTTTCATTATATTCATTCCTGATTTAATTAAAGACTCTTGAATATCTAAATAAACAGAAACTAAAATTCATATTATAGAAAAAAAGGGTTTTTTTCATATAGAGAACTCTATATTTTGAAAAACGATTTCTATAGTAGTAATAGCTCTTTATAAAAAGAATAAATTAATTCATAACATACTTTATTCAAAGTCATCTTCTTACAAGTCCTTATTATAATGTTTTTTATAAAGAGGATAGTGTAAATATAAATAATCTAGATTTAGAAATTCTAAAACTAAAGAAAATCATCATTTCTAGATTACTAGATATACTATATAAATAATTCATGATATTATATTAAAGCAACTAAAACTAGTAAGCCTTTCTTATAATATAGAGTATATAGAAAATAGTATTAATTTAAACTAACTTACTATAATTTTAGTTTCAATAAGTTTTAATAATAAAAAGAATATACTCATAGAAGTCGATCTTCTTATAAACTAGTAAAAGTCATATTATTATCTCTTTATAAGATACTATTACGAAGCAATAGCTATATCGATTAATCACTTTGATTAGAAGATAGATATACATAATTAAGAAATTAGATTAACTTAAGATATGATGCTAAGAATCATATTAATCTTATATATTTTGATTAGGTGATGAAGTTGTTTATTTAGGTAATAGGCTTGATAATACTAAAGATAAAGGAGTATTTTATAATCATGAGAGTAGGCACTTTGAAGAAGTACTAGGCTTGATTACATGATATTGTATAAGACGGTGATTTCCGTAATAGATACTTAATCTAATGTCTAATCTGAAAGATTTATAGAAGGATTCTTTTACTTTATAAGCTTTAAATTGTTATAGTACTTAGTCTTCTTAAAAGATTAGAATATATTTATCACTAACATCTGTGATAAATTACTTATACTTTTTCAATTAGATTATAGCTTGATATAATTCGATTTATATAGTTGATATTATAAAATTCTACTAGTCTGTTTCTATGTCATGAATAGAACTCATATTGTCTCTTTATAAAATAGTTAGTACAGTATATATAACTAATTACAAAATGATAATCTAATTTGAATTAGAAGAGAGTAGAGATAAATACTAGGCTATCTATATCAGACGTTATCTAGTTATTGAAGTAAGCAGTACCCTAGTCTAGGTATTAATAATCGAGAAGTGTAGAAACATATATAGCAAAATCTGTTTACTAATTTTTTTATAAAGTCAACGTCTAATAGCCGTTGGGTGAGAAGAAGATGGTAAATTATTGAGCGTTTATAGATCCCTTACCTTCCGAAACTTGAATCATACACACAGTATCACAGTCACAGAGAAATGGTTTCATAAATTGATAAGAAAGTAAGTTCAACAAGATATCCGATGCATTACTGCGCAAGAGACAATGTCTCATACTATCTAAGCCCTCATCTACATCCTCTCACCCCTTCCCCAAGAGCCCATACCTCCGCTTCCACACTCACACCCACTTGTTTTCGGAGCTGCACTACATCTAGGTAGTATCTAGCACACGAAATTTAACCACTCCACCCAAGGCCCTGACTTGCACACATCTATTGGTCGATGGCTCATCTGCATCTGTACAAATTGAACATCTGCCAGTGTCATCATCAATCTTGCTCCAGAACAAATTATGAGAAAGATATGTTCTTAGACAATGCCAATCCCGATGGCCCTTTTTGAAAAACGTGTGGAAGTCATTGGTAGAGCGACCTGTCAAGAAACATTCAGATATCTCTTGGAACATGGCAGCATTGTCAATCCTACCGGTCGGTATCAATCTACTCATGATTGCAGACCTTGCCATTACAAAGTTTTGCCACGAACTAACAGATCTTCTTTGGTCTGCTTCGTAGAGTCCGGTATAGATTCTCTTTCTTGCAGGAGATCTGTCTTTCGTGCGGACTTCAGATGCTGAACTGGGGGTCAAGGCGTTTGGGGAGCCTGCAGTTATAATGTTTGACCGCGGTCCCGTGTAGCTATCTTGACATGGTTCAGAAAATTCAGCATGACTTCTCTCATTTGCAGACGATTCACCTATCATAGACATTTCAGATATCGCCTGAATAGGATCCATAGAATATACAGCAGGGTTCTGAACATAGCTTCCTGGGCCAGGTCCGAATCTCACTGAGGTTGAAGTCATGGGTGTTGTTTGATTCAACATTCTCCCCAAAGATTCATTCTCTTCTCCAAGAGTCGTAATCGTATTGCGAAGCATTGTTCTTTGCTCATCGAACGAGGTCTTTTTTATTGAGAGCCCACAAAGCTTTGATCTCAGGATAGCATTTTCATTCTCAAGATCCGAGATTCTTTTGTCTCGCTTTGCCAATTCATCAACAGATTGCTTTTCTTGATCAGCTTCTGTGGCTTGACCATGCGAATCTGGCGCAAACGATGTCACGGTAGTTTCTTTCACACTTTTTTGTGTATATACCTCCGCATTGAGCTCTTTTGGAGTCAGCGAACGTCCTCTGATTTCTCTTGCAAAGTATCGCTCGGAACCTCGATGTTCTCCTTGAGAAGAGTTCTCAACCACGTCATTTTTCCGATGCGCACTTCGCCCCAATTTTTGAGGCTGTGCTTGAAACATCGGTAGTGATGATTCTGGAACTTTGTACGCCCATACGAAATCTGGGTCGACGAATATGTCTTCACGTAATCGATGAATCGAAGATGTTGACATCGATCTCAATCTTGGACGTCTCGGAGAACGCGAATCTTCTGCATAATGCCATGGCGGCGTTGGCGACTTGGTAAGAGGTAGCAGAGATTCTTGAGATCTACGAAATGATTGGAAAGACATTTTCAATTTTTTTGCATGAAAATGAGGTGTTGTGGGAGGAAGCGTCTACAGGTAGGCTAGATACTGAAGTTGCTATAGTGGCATTCCAGTAAGCGAGCAAGGCTGCAGAGAGAAGACAGAAATGATATGGAACCTAAAGCTTTACTAGTGCCCCAGAGAAGCATCACAAACCATAATGTTTGCCAAAACGAATTGAAAAGTTTACCTCTTCGACAATATTAAATATACTACTCCTACTTTCCAGTTCTTCAATCTATTAACAATGCCACAGCCAAACCTTGATCGAATCTGAAGATACATTTTGCGCCTTCCACGCGTCTGAACACAATAGGGAGAATACTGCACCGCTTACTAGAAATCTTATCATGGAGACGGAGAGAATTCTCCTTGCTATTTGTCTCAAGGTACGCGCTCCTCAAATTTACCCTTTATTGATACTCATTGCGAGCGTTTGACTGACCCCGCTGATGGCTTTCAAGGTATTTCCATATCCATGGCGGCACTCATACTTGCGCACTCGCACATACCTACACAAGTACTCAGTTGCAGGAGGACGGCCTTTGCGGACACTTGTGTCATCAAGAGCGCGTATGAACTAGATGAGGCTGACATTTGGCTACGAAAAAGATTGGAAGCGCGGCTGAGTCTGGTTCAGGATGACAAGTGAGATGATCGATGGGAAGGTTTATGGATTACTAACGCCAAGACGAACGCTCGTCGAATAAGCTCGACATTCAGAGACATGCAGGTACCAAGCAGATCCCTTTACTTGAGTGATCAGAACTTATACTAACAATCTTATCTTTCAGACGTTCTGTCTCTCTGCCAGGCAACCACGCTGTCATTCAGGACCATCAACAACGAACATACCTCACCCCATACCTTACCACAACATTATGAAACCACAGACTTGGCATTTCATGAATATCATTATCATCATATGCTATCTATAAGCATCATGACTCCACCTCTTCCCAAACAGGCAAATCAATATCTACAACAATAGGTTTATTGAATTTCTTCCCTCCCCTCCCTTTTCCATGAGGCCAACTAGAAGCCATCAACGCCGCATTAATCACACATGTCTCCTGTCGTCCCATTCGTCCACATAAAGCTTCTACGTCACAACGTAGAGATGGTGGTACTCCACCTTGTCCTCGAGCTGGGGAAAGTATCTCCTCTGGTATCGCGAGTAAAGTTTTCGCTACATTTGAGATTGCCATCCTTGCCATGGAATTGTTTCGGTGCCATTTTCCTCTATCTTTTGTAATTGCTTCAGGTAAAAGTGGTAGACCACTTCCAATCGATGTGGTTAGGTTACTGGCACTAGCAGTAGCATCACATGTTTGATTATCCCAATCTCCAAAGGCCCCATCGTTCTTGAAAACATTTCCCCCCATTCTTCCTTTTGAAGTCAAATCGATATGGGACATCTTTTTATTATCTTTACCCGGATCTTCCCAACGAACCACACGATTTTCCTTGAATTTAATGTTCGAAGATCCAAGATCCCATTGAATTATTTCAGCACCTCTTCCTTCATGAACATGTCCACATATTGCTAATTGTGGACGAATTCTCCATAAAGCTTGACGTAAATATTCACATCCAGCAGCTACACGATCATTCCTTTCATCGCAATGATATTTTGGTGGTGTGTGAGTAAGTACAATATCCACATCTAAAGGAATATCATTCCATCTTTTGGAAGCATCAGATTTTGGATAACTGAAAGCCCACATTCCTTTCGCCGGGGAAAAAGGAGAACCGAAAATACGAAAGGTAGTATGTGGACCTGTAGGTGATGCTAAAGAAACTTCTGCTGCTTCATGATTAAGGTATAGAATTGAGGGTGAACGATCCAATAATTTTTGACACTTTTTGATATCCTGTGGATTTTGTTTATGGAAATAAAGACCATATTGAGAGTAAAACGATGGATCGAGTGTTATATCATGGTTACCTTACATAATGATTAGTTTTTAATTTTGTTCGTTCGGAATAAATGAAGATGGAAATAGAACGTTTTTATGGGGTGGATGAATGTAGGGATGGATCCCCTAGTAAAAATAGGTGGATATATTATGCATACCAGCAATGATAATTTTGGCTTCAAAATCAGCATCTTCAATCCATTTGATTGATTTTTCTAATTCCGCATAGTTTCCTTGATTTGTTAAATCGCCTGCATGAATAAGAACGTCACCGGGTGGTAGTTTGAATGATCCATTCGCAACGCCATTATGAGTATCGGAAACACAAACGAAACGGGTTTTGCGAGTACGAGTAGTTCGAGTTATTATAGGTATGTGAGGTTCCGGAGAGGACGAAGTAAGGTATGAGTTTTGAGGCTCATATGATGATGCGGTAGTACATGAATCTTGAGAGTGATGAGAAGGTTCATATGTTAGACGGTCGAGCTCATAGGAGGGATCGACCATGTTGGGATATCTATCTGGAGTACCCCTCTCCTGAGATGAATGAATTAGGATTTTGACAGGTCAGGGGTATGATGGTGGTGAGTAAAGATAAGGAATATGCCGGTAGGTAGGTATACTGGTTAGTAGTACTGTAGTTTGTAGGATTATAATGAATCGGGAGAGAGAAGGTACGAAGAAGGTAGTAGTAGCCTTACCCGTTAGCTAGGCCATAATATATTAATGACACATTCCCTTGATGTATAATTGGTCTGACGGGCAAGGGACAAGACCAACGTTCTAGACAAGGCTGGGAAGGGAGGGAAAAGGATAAATCCATTTATTGGGTTGATTTGACGAAATTGCCTCGATGTGTTGAGTTTTTGCCTTACACATACTAATACGAACCCGGATTCTACCCAGTACTATATAGACGACATCTAAGAATGATATTTATCGATCCCTTGATCTATTCTTCTCACCTCATCACCTCATCGCCTCACGCTTTACTCACACTTTAGTCACACTCTACGATGTACTACTCATGGCTCACTCACATCTCACATCTCACTCATACCTCAAACCTTACATCTTATACCTCACACACCTCACACATCTCACCTCACACCCTCTCTCTCTCTTGCATTGATAGACATTGAACATTGACATTCGGAGAAAAAAGGATTGCTAGGAACCAGGGTACTTCAAAGTTTGTTTTTATTGAACACAGATCAAATTACCGGTCGGATACCTTCTCGACCACCTGCCAAAATGTTTAACCAATACCAATCCTGGTCTGTATCCGCTTTTCAACAGTTAAATGGGCGCATTGGGTCACGATGATTTGTTCTACCCATTCAAGCCATTTGGGAGTTCTTTGGTCAAGTACCCAGCATTTGAGAGAGTCTTTCATTTCATTCGTTGATCCACTGCATAAACTGGTCTTCGGTATGAACGATATGGATGAATGATACTAGGACGGACTGATATAAATGTTTAAAAAGTTACCAGGTACTCAACTCTCCTTTCGCAAGACTTAAGATTATTTATCATGATTTCTTATTCCCCTTGTTCAAAAGTAGGCAGTATTCCGTGTATAGTTTGATAGCTTCGTTTTTTCTTATTCATTATTCATTATTTTTCCACTCTGTACTTACATTGTAGGTACTCACTCAAATTGCCCGTTCATTCGATCTACCTAGTATCTATACCTAGTCTAGTACCTTGCCTTGCCCATTAACCGTTCGGACTATTCTAATTCCAACTCTCTTCCAACTTCTTCCCCGACTTCTTCTCCAACCTCTTCTCCCTCTCACAACAAAGAGGGTGATAGGAAGAAGAGAATTGTGTTTGACCGGTCAATGGTCATAAGTCTCAGTGCGGTCATTCACCAACAGCTTCAATTATCTTCATTTCGGTATTACTTATTCATTAAATAATTTAATTGGTCGGTATAATCGCCGTTGTGTCTCTGTTTGGCACTGCCGCACTGCAGACGCACGTTCACCAGTCCACTACATTCACTACCTATTACATACAGAAAGTCTCTCCTATTTTCCTATCGACCAACCCAGATGATCAAGAAGGATCTATTCAACAATTGAGTCTTAAGGATTCATTCAAGAAAAGTCTTGTTCTAACTTGGATTGGTTTTGTCATACATTAATAAAAGATACGAAGAAAGAGACCTTTCGTTCCGCCAATTCGAAGAGATCCAGGCAACTTCATTCATACCAATCATAATAAAAGAAATCCGGATACAAGAAAATTGATTGGAAAGCATTGGTAGGAAAGGATTGAATCACTCTTAGGGTGAGAAGGTCGTTTTCGGCAGATCTTCAAATCTTGGAGTAAAAGGTCTTAATCAGTATGGCAACGATTTCTACATCGCAAGCCCATACCAGCTTGACACCACCAAGTAGTTCTCACGGCCAAGATTCTTGGAATTACTCTGTGCCAGTAGAGGTAAAAAATTAATCTCATGGTTACCTTCGGCTTTTTTAAAGTTGTTATGCTAATTAAACTTTCCTTCAGCCGACCTCACCTTCTGCCGTCACCGACTATCATAATCACAATCGACAAATTTCCCAAACAAACGGTTACCCATTGCGTCCAAATACAGAAACCTTTGGTCCTCGCCTCGATCATAACCATTTGGCTCCAGCTCGCGCAAATGAATTAAATCGACAAAATAGTGATATCAGCGATACTCCAAGTGCTCCCGATAGTTTACTGGATTCATATGGAAATAACAAAGGTGGTCGAAGTATGGATTCTGGGGGCAAGAAAGGTATGAATGGTGGAACGTATGAAATGGGTGATGTGGAACATTCTAGGTGGATTCACAGAGATAAATTGGCCCGAATTGAGAATGAAGAATTACAAGCAGCTGGAATCCCGATACCTCGTCCAAGAACAGGAAGTAAATCTAGTCGACGGGATCGTAGTCAAGATGCCAGTAATGCCATTCGAAGTGAGGGACAAAAAAGGCAGAAGATGGGAGGGAACGGAGATGGAGAAGGTAATCCTTGGGATTTACGATTACCTGAAGAGTCTGCTGGAGATTTAGGTATCAAAGGCATA